AACCTCTTATTGACAAATTCTAAATCTAAGGAATGTCAACTTACTCTTGAGAATAGGCCCATGTGATGAATGAGGACCGAAGCATGTTCACCGAGACCAATTTTCCAGTAAGTCCATAAAACACATTCTTCAGGTGGGCAGAGAATGCAGCTGAAGTGAAGGCATCTCCATTTTTGTTCTGTAGGCAAAGGGGAAACAACAATCAATTTATTAAAGTGCCACTATGATGAAATTCTCCATATCCATTTTCTTACATTTTCGTACAGAATAGGTGTTTCCTAGATATCTTGCCAAATTTCAATCAGTTACGCACATTACAACTCGCTCTTTATGGACCTTTATTTCCAAGAATTTACGACCACCATTAATTTTCCTTGTTCCAAGTCTTGGTTGAGAATTTGAGAAAATGACGTCATTTTCTGAAAAATACCACACGGGTTGAAATTATAATAACAATTAACGTGGAGAATTGCACGAATATGCGATCCAAAGTTTTTGTTATTCCTTATGTGAATTGCTGTGCCAATTGTTATTATAATTTCAACCCGGGTGAAACTANATCACTAAACTTTAAAACTATTACAACAACTATGCTAAACTTTAAAACTATTTCCACAAGTCAAAAGCTTTCTTAAAAAGAAATGTTTTCAGTTGCTTTATTAGTAACTTAGTAATTTAAGTAATAATTACTTAAATTACTAAGTTTTACTAGGCTTTTCAGTTTTACTAGGCTTACTAGGCTTTTCAGGAACAATTATTGTTCCTGAAAAGCCCCATTGGGGAGGTAACAATAAAGTAAAGAAAAAAAAGAAACTCACCAACAGCAGAAAATCTCCGCTTCCTTCCTTGGTGAGGTGCGGTCGGAAGTCTTTCACATACATACGCAGAATCTGGCAAAGTTCGTGGTCGTTCTGAGGAGAGAGTGAGTGAGTTCCTAATTAGTAATGCTAACCCTTTGCCAGGCTTCGGTTTCCATTCACACCATGACAAACCACAACCTAGAGGACAATGAGTGGTCCTTAAACGTACAAGTTTACATCGAACTAAAACCATTTGGATCCCCTTTTCGCTTTGTTTATTTCTCTCAAAAAAAGTAAAAAAAATTAAATATAACAGGGAAAACCAGAAATCTAACCTCCAACGCCAATTCATCCCTGCCTGAAAACCGCCTGGTTTTGTAATTATGAAAGTGCAAGATGACTCCATCGTCCTTCATCACCACAGCGTTTCGATCTTTAAAGCGAGCCTGATCAAAGTCGTAACCATTGCCAAGGACTTCCAGCGTTCGGATTTCCAGGCCTCGGGATGGCGGGATGAAAACATACAGGCTCACCATTACCAGGTCACAACATTCTCTGGCCTTCACTTTCATCGGACCAGCAAGCTCAAAGCGTTCCCGTTGTGTCGCTACTGTTTTCACAACCTGGTCCCTGAGGAAATAAGGCAGAGAAAATGTCATTACCGTCAAATTAGCTGCCACCAGCTATGACTTTTGTCCATCTCCGAATGAGCACCCCCCTCCCCTCCCCTCCTGCATTTTGTGGACGAGTAATTAGAGTAAAATAAATTCCCTTTCTCTTGCCTGGTGTATAAAAAGTGATCAAAGAGAAACAAACACAAATCAGACTCACCAAGGAAGCCAGCGATTTTGCGCTTCAAAGTCCTCCTTGCTGGATGGACGGTCGAGGTCGCCCTCTTTTTGGAGCAGGGTGGCTTGAACTCTCAACTGCTTTATGATCGCCACATTATTGAAGTTGGGCGCATCTTCGCGATGCAGAAATTTGATCGGGTACAAGATCGAACTTATGTGATTGGAGACTGTCGCTGAACTGCAACACCGCTTTTCCTGGGGAGAAACAATCGATTGAAGCAGCGGATGAATTTTGCGAACTTTGCATTTCAATTCGATTCAATCATAAAAGCATACGGCCTGGATAATTATATTGTCGCACCACATTCCTGGTTTTGACATTTGCTGTGTGTAATGTTGGCAAGTATGATCCACCATACTCTGAACATAATGTTCTGGACTCAATTTCAGCCACGTGAATTTGCAAGTGCAAATCTGCAGTTTTATAAAGCTGATGTGACTTATAAAACAATCACCACCCTTGTTATCAATACCATTTTGTTTATTTATTTATTCATTAAACTTTTTTTTTCTCGGAGAAATAAGCTCTACAGCTACCCTTGTAAATTCGAGGTGAAATAAAGGTGATGCGTTTATGTACGTAAAAGCCAAAGATCAAAGACACAAGTAAATTCAATTTGAAAACAACAAGTGATATAAAAATACGAAATATTACAGTGACGAAATATTACACCACACGACAAAAAACAAGCCAATTATTTTGAGATCAATCGTATTTCAACTGTGTTAAATTAGTGGCCGCTTAATTCTTTTCTCGGCAGTTCAGTAGCAGCTGTAAGCTTGTGTCGTGGGAACAATTAACAGCGAGGGAGTCGCTTTAAATTGTCGTAAAGAAAACGACTTCGAACGCAGTTTGGAACAAATAAGCAGAAGAGAATTTGTCAAAGACTACAACCTAGATAGACAATCCATACATTGACAAGGACTCACCCACTAAGACAAGATCTGAAAGCATTTTCCCGTCTGATTTAGCCAAAACAACTTTTATAATGGCGGCCACACGTCTGTTGTGGAATTACGATCGAACCCAGACCCCAGCAACTCAAGCCCAACTCGCCCTCGCGGGACACACGCCCTTTTACGCGGGATATTTTGATTTACGCAACAAGAGAACCTGCAAGTTAATTTTTCGCCGAAAACGAAAACACCCACCTTCAGAAATTCCACGTAGCCTTCGATGAACGTTACTCGCAGGAACACTTCTGGGCTCAATTCTCGTGTATCCATCACACTCTGCGCGTATCCCAGAAAACCTAACATAGAGAGGGGACAATGTTATACGCATTCGTTTTTGGTCTTCTTTTGATTTTTCTGTTTCGACTTTTTTTTTTTTACGATCGCTAAATCGAACGACTACAAAGAACGCAAAAACCGTCCTTGCGTAGGTAAAACTGACTAGAGATTAAAGACGAAAAATGCGTAATATCGGCCAAGACAACACAAAAGAAATTTTTCGCACCTCCCGTTTGAAAAACCGCTCGCGTCTTCCCTTTTTCCATCACACTCTGCGCGCATCCCAGAGAAGACAATGTTTTACGCATTCGTTTTTGGTCTTTTTTTGATTTTTTTGTTTCGTCTTTTTTTTACAATCGCTAAATCGAACGACTACAAAGAACGGAAAAACCGTCCTTGCGTAGGTAAAACTGACTAGAGATTAAAGACGAAAAATGCGTAATACCGGCCAAGACAACACAAAAGAAATTTTTCGCACCTCTGGTTTGAAGAACCGCTCCCGCTCGCGTCTTCCCTTTTTCCCACGCTTGTTTGAACTAATATTTGAATTAATCTAGAAAGCATTGGCCAAAACACGCTTTAAGAACGAAGCATTTACAGCCGCGTATACCTTTTACCGCAATCAAACGCGCGCGTGCGGCCTCTGTGAGCGAACTGAGTAAAAGACATACAACAACATATACATACCAAGTACTCTTTCTTGGGCTTTGTCGTAAGTCGAAGGGCAAAGCGGGGCCTTCTGCCTTTCCAGATTTACTCTCTGCGTGAAGTATGTCTTTACCGACGCCAAGAAAGCGCGCATCCTTGCATTGAGATCACGGATATTTAGCGCATAAGGACTCCTCTTTCCTCCAACTGGCAAGGGAAATGTAGCATGCATGTTTCCACCACCACCGAAGGCTTCTGTCTCCCCTCTGCTGCCGAAGTTCTGCTGGTGCTGTTCTTCCAATTCATTCTCGTCTAGCTGATCTCCATCTGTGGGATGAAATCGCTCTGAACCGAATTTTGGGGCTTCATCGTTAGAATCGCTTACTTCAGAGTCTGAAGCACACCTGTCCATCAACGCGTCGTCTTCTAGGGTTGCAAAGGGCGGCGCTTGCTCGATGGCCCGTTTTGTCATAGGGGGTTGTGTTTCGGTCCATGCCTCGCCATCAGAGGTACTACTAGAACTGGATTCGTAGGAAAGCAAAGAATCCATTGCACGTATTTCACCTATCGACACGACAGGACGCAAAACCACGCGCTAAAAATGCTTGTCTCTATGACACTCGAGGTTTAAATACCCCACGAGTAGACCAATCAGAGTTCAGGGCGATCTTGGGCGAGGGAGACCGGGAATGAATTGGATGACGTCACTAGAAAACTATAAATCTATTAGAGATCAATAACATTTTGAACCAACATCTTGTTCCAGATTGGACTCACGTGACTAGAGTTCACGCGGAGGATATTGCAATATGTTGGTATTCTTTATAAAGCTTAAATCACAATAATCGCACTTCTTTTTTTCTGTTTAAGTATTTCTTCATGGTCTCTATTTAGTGGAATTAAATATCATTTTATTTTTTGCACGCAGGTGAAGAATTTCTCACATGAATTAATAAACGGAAGTCGACGAATCATTCTGGGTTTCGATCTCGATTTAAAGCGCTTCATATCAACTTCTTACCTCTCCACTGCATGCTTCACAAATACCGGCTTTAGCATTAAGTAGTAGTTGCGCTGTCAATTCCTTTTTTAGGAGTCGAGCGGCGATTTTCGACTTAAGATTTCCAACTCGTGACGAACGACGCTGTTTAGCTTGGTTGACTTTAAACCGCGGACGAACTGGGGGCAAGAGTTATCGTGATTGGTCGCTCTGGAGTATTTCAAACCAAGAAACCTACCGGAGGCGTTATTTTCAAAAACGCAGGCTCTGAAGCAAGTTATGATATGGTCGATTTGTTAACTGTTATTTTCAAGGTGAGTTTACTCTTTCAGTATGAGATTAGGGTTACAATGGTTTATATCACTGGGTCGGCTGGGTGAGTTAAATTATTTAAGTTTACATCTTGTTCTTTGTTATTTTTATCAGAATAAACTCGAACTGATCAAATTATGCCTACTGGTTTTAACGGTGATGAAAACCCTGGTAAGTTGAACACTGATGAAATATTACATGATAAAATATTAAATGATAAAATTGATTTTCATGCTGTGAAACCTTATTTTCTTCTGTTTTACATGTGTCAAAATCTTTTGAAGGACAAAGGTGTAACACAACAGACACTTTTGTGATGTAAATCAGTGGCCCTGTATATATTATGTGGTTTAGCCTGCAAATGAATAACTAATATTGAATAACAATGTTTTTTTTTCTTTATAACCAATCAAACACACATTTTGAGGACAATTTATTCACGGGTATATTTAAACATAATTTCTTGAAAATGATATCCACAGAGGGGGGCGTGGTTACTCTAGAAGGTTTTACATGGGGTCTGCTCTTAGGGTTTAGAGACAAGACACACAAGAAACAAATGCCTTGATGCTTTCTATGTATTTTTATTGATGTATTTATTTTTGGTGGCTTTGAGGAAGATAAAATTGATTTTCATGCTGTTAAACCTCATTTTCTTCTAGATGACAAAGATGACAGGGATTCAGGAACTGAGCCTCCATCAGGTAAGGCAAATGTTTTTTAAAAATAGCAAAGCACCTGTATTGTGTATGGATGTCCTTTTGCAGCTCTTTGAGAATCCACGGCATGAGAAATAAGGAACAATATCAAATGTTTTGCCGATTGTTTGATAAAAATCAATGAAATGTTAAATTGTCTGACTTGACAAGAGTCCAACTTGTAAGACACAAGTCCAAAATACAAGTTGCACACATTTTGAGGACAATTTAATCACAGGTATATTTAAACATAATTTCTTGAAAATGATATCCACAGAGGGGGAGTGGGTACTCTAGCAGGTTTTACACGGGGTTTGCTCTTAGGGTTTAGAGACAAGACACACAAGAGAAACAAATGCCTTGATGCTCTCTATTTCTTTTTATTGAGTATTCATTTTTGGTGGCTTTGAGGAAGGTAAAATTGATTTTCATGCTGTTAAACCTCATTTTCTTCTAGATGACAAAGATGAGGGGGATTCAGGAACTGAGCCTCCATCAGGTAAGGCAAATGTTTTTTAAAAAATAYCAAAGCACCTGTGTTGWGTATGGATTTCCTTTTGCAGCTCTTTGAGAATCCACAGCATGAGAAACAAGGAACAATATGACATGTTTTGCRGATTGTTTGATAAAAATCAATGAAATGTTAAATTGTCTGACTTGACAAGAGTCCAACTTGTAAGACACAAGTCCAAAATACAAGTCGCACACATTTTGAGGACAATTTATTCACGGGTATATGTAAACATAATTTCTTGAAAATGACATCCACAGAAGGGGTGCAGTTACTCTAGAAGGTTTTACACCGAATCTGCCCTTAAGGTTTAGAGACAAGACACACAAGAAACAAATGCCTTGATGCTTTCTATGTATTTTTATTGATGTATTCATTTTTGGTGGCTTTGAGGAAGATAAAATTGATTTTCATGCTGTTAAACCTCATTTTCTTCTAGATGACAAAGATGTGGAGGCTTCAGGAACTGAGCTTCTATCAGGTAAGGCAAGTGTTTTTAAAAAATAGCAAAGCAAGGAGGCCGGAGCAAGTAATTATCTTCCAAGCAAGGCAGCTGTTTTAAAAAAATAGTTGAACTTGTGTTGTGTTGCAATGATGCAATACATTTTCTTGCTCAGAAATTACAACACAGTTAACATATTATGTTAAAACTGTGAAACCTCATTTTCTTGTAGCCAAGCCTGGTAATGCTTTGGAAAACCAGCCTCCTTCAGGTAAGGCAAATGTTTAAAAAGGTAGTTGCACCTGTGTTGGGTATTTTATTTCTCAGTGTTGAAACTCAACTAACATGATATAAATCACCAAGTGAACCTTAATTGCTTTTCTTAGAGCTTATGATTTAAGGCGTTTCTGAACTTGACGTCCCACTTTCATCCACTGTTTAATTGCCTCATGATTTATTTGCAGATCTCCAGAAATTACAAGCTCAAAATCAAGGTACAATATCAAATGTTTTGCTTGTTGTTTGATATACATGAAACAACAGACAACAAAATTTTGAACACAGTTAACATATTGCATTAAGCTAA